TGTTATGATCCCGAGTTGTAAATAATCAGACTTGAGACTCTAAAACGGGGTTGGCAAACATTTTTCTGTACGGGGCCAGATAGTAAATATTTTAGGTTTGTGGGCCATGTGGTGTCTCTCACAACCTCTCAACTCTGCTATTGCAGTATGAAAGCAGCCGTAGACAATATGTAAAGAAACCAGTGTGGCTGTGTTCCAATAAAACTCTATTTACAGGTGAGGGCTGAATTTAGTACACAGATCATAGTTTGCCAATCCCTGCTCTAAAATATCAACCAGTTCTCCATGTTTCTATTATATAGATATGTATCCATATTGAAATATTAGGGAATTTAGCATAATTTCAGATTCCCTTTCATAATATTGGAAACATTTTGGACATATCTTTTATTAACCATTTTATACTCAGTGCCTAGCAGAGGGGTCTTTCATTTAGTAGGCACTCAAATGTTTATTTAATGAATAGCAAATGAGTAAGGCCTGGGCTTTCCTAGCATGCTAACCTCTGCAGAGTGCCCACTACGCCTTGTCCAGCTCCAGTACACTTCAAATTGCCTAGTTGAAATAACTCAAGTTCAGTATGCCAAAACACTGGAAACTCTCGTATGGTGGAACTCTCTTCTCTCCATCTCTGTAGGAAAGTTATGAGATCTGTACTTCTGTTATGGATCAATATAGTCACAATACTTTCCTTAGAAACAAACCTGATAGCTAGGTATATATCTATATTATATCTATATCAGTCAATCAGTCTGCTCATTGACAGCAATGGGGATGACGAGACTGAAGCTATACGGGCCAGGCGGCAGCATTTTACTGCCAGAAACCAGGGGATTGCAATTGCCATAACAACAGACACAGTTGAAGGGTAGCTAAGGGGGTTTGACCTGGAGGGAATCGTGGACATGATTAATAGAACATTGCATCCCTAGAGGAAAAAAGATGAATAGCCAATGAGGGTGCTGCTTAATACATACAATGAAAAGAAGGCAAGAATGGATGAACAGCAGGCTGAGGGTGGTCACCCCAATAGAAAGTCATGATACTTTGCCCAGATCCCAGACCTCAGCCAGTTTTCAGACCCAGAAACTACTGGCTGAAGAGGTGGCCAAATGCACAGGAGGAAGAATCTTGAAATACATGGTAAAAATACACCGTGTTAATTTCTCCCATTTTCCTCAAAAGAGACCTATGGTAATTTACTTGAGAAAATACATCCCGGGGAAAGAGGAATATCCAGTTATTTTGAGGCCATTGGGTTGAATTAACGTTGAATCATGGAGTTCAAAGCATCATGTTAGAATGGATGCAGACAGGGACCAGGTAATAAACAGAATCCTGGCCAAAGTCTGGCTCTCAGTAGGT